AAAATAAAATAAGAACAACAAAAAACAAAAAACAAAACCCCCATGGCAGACCCCCCCAACTTCGCCTCCGTCCGTCCCCCCCGCCCCGCAACTCACCGGGAGCCGCCGCGACCCGCGCAGAGGAGCGCCCGGGGACGCCGCCTCCCGCGGAGCGCAGCCCGCAGGGGCCGGGCAGCCGAGGGGGAGGAGGAGCCGCAGCAAGTTGCGGCGCCTCTCTCTCTCTCTCTCTCCTTCCCTCCCTCCCTCCTCCTCCTCCTCCTCTTCCTCCTCCCTTCCCTCCGCCTCCTCCGCCCGCCGGGAGGGTCGGGGGGGAGGCAGCAGAGAGGACCGCGGCCGCGCAGCAGAGCGCATGTCCCCGCACCGGCCGCCGAGCCATGCGGGGGGGAGATGCGCAGCTCCGCCGCCCCCCGCGCATCTCCCTCCCCCTCACCTCCCCTCACCCCTCCTCCGCGCACCGCAGAACGCCTCTGCGGAGGATGCGCGGGGCACGGCTGGTACCGCATCCCCCTGCTCCGCCAAGGTCCGGGTGTCCCCCGAGCAGCGGGGTGCGGGGCCGGAGGATGCTCCCGCGGCCAGGCTGGAAAAAGGAGGAAGAGGAGAAAGATGCACCACATTTCACCCCCACCCCCCCTCCCCCAAAGTGAACCTGACTGAGAAAGACAGATGGCCCTCCGTGGGGAGGTGGTGGCCCCCCGGCGGGAGGTGGTGGCCCCCCAGGGGGAGGTGGTTGCCCCCCAGGGGGAGGTGGTGGCCCCCCGGGGGGAGGTAGTGGCCCCCCTGGGGGAGGTGGTGGCCCTCCGGGGGGAGGTGGTGGCCCTCCGGGGGGAGGTGGTGGCCCTCCGGGGGGAGGTGGTGGCCCTCCGGGGGGAGGTGGTGGCCCTCCGGGGGGAGGTGGTGGCCCTCCGGGGGGAGGTGGTGGCCCTCCGGGGGGAGGTGGTGGCCCTCCGGGGGGAGGTGGTGGCCCTCCGGGGGGAGGTGGTGGCCCTCCGGGGGGAGGTGGTGGCCCTCCGGGGGGAGGTGGTGGCCCTCCGGGGGGAGGTGGTGGCCCTCCGGGGGGAGGTGGTGGCCCTCCGGGGGGAGGTGGTGGCCCTCCGGGGGGAGGTGGTGGCCCTCCGGGGGGAGGTGGTGGCCCTCCGGGGGGAGGTGGTGGCCCTCCGGGGGGAGGTGGTGGCCCTCCGGGGGGAGGTGGTGGCCCTCCGGGGGGAGGTGGTGGCCCTCCGGGGGGAGGTGGTGGCCCTCCGGGGGGAGGTGGTGGCCCTCCGGGGGGAGGTGGTGGCCCTCCGGGGGGAGGTGGTGGCCCTCCGGGGGGAGGTGGTGGCCCTCCGGGGGGAGGTGGTGGCCCTCCTGGGGGAGGTGGTAGCCCCCCGGGGGGAGGTGGTGGCCCCCCTGGGGGGAGGTGGTGGCCCCCCTGGGGGAGGTGGTGGCCCCCCCGGGGGGAGGTGGTGGTCCTCCGCGGGGAGGTGGTGGCCCTCCGGGGGGAGGTGGTGGTCCCCTGGGGGAGGTGGTGGCCCCCCGGGGGGAGGTGGTGGCCCCCCCGGGGGGAGGTGGTGGTCCTCCGCGGGGAGGTGGTGGCCCTCCGGGGGGAGGTGGTGGTCCCCTGGGGGAGGTGGTGGCCCCCCGGGGGGAGGTGGTGGCCCCCCCGGGGGGAGGTGGTGGCCCTCCTGGGGGAGGTGGTGGCCACCCCGGGGGGAGGTGGTGGCCCCCTGGGGGGAGGTAGTGACCCTCCAGGGGGAGGTGGTGGCCCCCGGGGGGGAGGTGGTGGCCCTCCTGGGGGAGGTGGTGGCCCTCCTGGGGGAGATGATGGCCCTCCGTGGGGAGGTGGTGGCCCCCCGGCGGGAGGTGGTGGCCCCCCAGGGGGAGGTGGTTGCCCCCCGGGGGGAGGTGGTGGCCCCCCGGGGGGAGGTGGTGACCCCCGGGGGGAGGTGGTGGCCCCCCCGGGGGGAGGTGGTGGCCCTCCGGGGGGAGGTGGTGGCCCCCCCGGGTGTCCCCCGAGCAGCGGGGTGCGGGGCCGGAGGATGCTCCCGCGGCCAGGCTGGAAAAAGGAGGAAGAGGAGAAAGATGCACCACATTTCACCCCCACCCCCCCTCCCCCAAAGTGAACCTGACTGAGAAAGACAGGTATGGTGACCGAAGGGAGGTCTGCATAATTAGCAGTGGCTTCTTAATGAAAGCAAGAGCCGTTATTTGCCACGATGGAGAGAAGGGCAGGGACTTCAAGTGAGAAACCACTGCAAGAGCGAAGGCAGGAAAGGCTGCAACGACAAAACGCCTCGTGTAGATCTCTGGGGACTATTTTAGGGAAATTGCACAATTGCCATAAGTTGCCACCCCGGTGTAGGGACTGACCTAACACCCAGAGAGTTTCTTCCTTCCTGAGAACAAGTTCAAACCCCATACTCCATTCTGCAGTACCCCTGGTGTCACGTGTGGGGCTGGCTGGAGGCTTCAGCCTGGATTTGCATTCGGTGTTTACCCAGAAAGGATTTACCTACACGGGAGAGTGCTGGGGGGCTGTTTGTTTTAATAATCCAAATCCATCAGTACCATCAGCATTTTCATCTTCACCTAATCTTTGGCGAGATTATGGCTCGGTTAATTATCTCCATGCTCATCCATCTGATGAATCCTCAGAGCTGATCCTTTCTCCAGATCATCTTTCGGTATTGCCAGCTGTTGAGTTCCTCTCTTGATTTGTTTGCCTTTTTTTTTTCTTTCCCCCTGCCTTTTCCTTCTGAGCCCAACAACCTGTCCTCACTGGGCAAGCTAGTCCATGTCTAGCAGAGCCCAGCACGTCTCAGTTTGTCCTCATGGTCCCTGCAACAAAATGCATATTATTCTACTCTGTAGCCCGCGAGCTCTTGTAGTATCCAACTGATGGTTGTCATTTTACCAATTTGATGTTGCTTTTCTTCTCTGTTCCTAACGTGTCCCTATACTGGCACATCGTCGCTGACCTAATGACGTTTTTCTCAGACTTTGGTTTCCTTTGCCTGGCCTTCTTGCAGAGCATTCCCATCAAATCCTTCCCTTAGTAACAACCGGGCTTCGTGAAGCCCCCAGTGTCCACATTCCAGGTGGTGACTCTGCAAGGAACCCAGCTATCTGACAGACTTTAACTCTTTCCCCTTGGATTACGTTGGTTTCTTGTTCTTGCAGTCAAGATTTGGACATGTGGAGCCTTTTATCAGCCCTTTTCTTCTACCTTTGTCCTCCCTCATTCTAGACCCATGGTTCCCCAGCTCTGCTCAAGGACGGTAGATATCCTGTGAAGCCGTGGTAGGCCATCAAACCCATTTGGTGCCTCCGTAGTTTTTTTCAGCTTAACGTATGAAAACACATTGTGATTTGTGGGAAATTTGGGATGCTAACAGTAGCGTGCAATTCCAAGAAGACTGAGAGCTGATGTTCTACAGCTACTTCCCTTCAGCTGTATCTTTTGGCAGGGGTTGATGTCATCAGTAAAACGCAGTTCACCTTGAGTCTCCCCAAGGGATGCACCCAGCACCCCAGGACACAGAAACTCACGGGAACTTTCCATCTCTTTAAACCTACTGTCCTCCAGATACTTAGTTTATTCACATTTATTTCGTTGAAAAACCTTCCAAAAAGCATAAGGTAAATCAAAAGCTGTGTACTTGCTTTTGAACAGGAGTCATCACATATGGTATAAAAAGGGTATTGCTGTAACAATTTATGTTCCCATCTTAAACTATACTCCTGTTGAAATGTAAGCAAAGCCACGGACATCTCCAAAGGAGAGGGGGGGCTCTCCTTTGCCTCTTTTCTTCTCTCCCACCTCCTCTCTCCCCTTTGCCCTCCATCTCCAAATACCATTTGATTTCATTTATCTCCCATTTATCTTCATTTATCTCATTTATTTAGGAAGAAAACAATTATTACACGTTTCTCTTTTAAATCTAGGGAAGTGGGGTTGGCTCATTAACTGACCTTTATTGGCAGCCCTGTTCAGCACACAGGCAAAGATCGGGCAGGAGGGGAGGGAGGCAGGGCGTGCAGGGAAGGAGGCAGCCCATGGTCTCCTGGCAAAAGGGAAAGATCCTCCACAGAGTCAAACCGGAGGGGCAGGCGGGGGCATAAAGGCAATGGGCAGCTGGCAGAGAGGGAGGGAAACAAACAGGGTAGGCAAGAGGCAAAGATGAACTCCTTCACAAAGGACAGCACAAATAAAGCACTCTTAGGCGTGATTAATTCTGCACTCCAGCAGAGTGAAACTATTACCTCCTGTAATTTCCATGGCAGGAGCTCCCAAAGGCCCCCGGTGCCACTAGAGCCCCATTACCTGAGGGGCTGTGCTGGGACATAAGTGAGGTGGTCCCTGACGTGGCCACGAGGACCTTCCAGTTCAGCACGAGCCAAAACGCAACAGAGGGATGTGAGAACCAGCATAAGGGACCAGGAAGGGAAGGAGAGCTGGAACCTTGCAAGCCTACATTGCTGCTGCCTTATGCAACTTCAAGGTTATAATGTGTGTAAAGAATCACAGAATCACAGGATCTTCTAGGTAGGAAGGGACGTTAAAGATCATCTCGTCCAACCGTCAACCTAATTTTGACAAAAATAGACACCCACACAACAAACAAAAAGCAACACCATCACTAAACCAGACCTCCCAGCACTACATCAACCCGTCTTTTGAACACCTCCGGGGATGGTGCCTCAACCCCCTCCCTGGGCAGCCCATTCCAATGGCTGAGAACCCTTTCAGGGAAAAAATTTTTCCTAATATCCAGCCTGAACCTCCCCTGGTGTAACTGGAGGCCATTTCCTCTCGTCCTGTCGCCTGTGACTTGAGAAAAGAGACCGACCCCCCCTGGCTACACCCTCCTTTCAGGGAGTTGGAGAGAGCAATAAGGTCTCCCCTCAGCCGCCTCTTCTCCAGGCTGAACCCCCCCAGCTCCCTCAGCCTCTCCTCACAAGCCTTGTTCGCCAGACCCCTCACCAGCGTTGTCGCCCTTCTCTGGACCCGCTCCAGCACCTCAATGTCTTTTTTATGGTAGGGGGCCCAAAACTGGACACAGGCCTGAAGGTGGGGCTTCACCAGTGCCCAGTACAGGGGGACCATCACCTCCCGAGTCCTACTCCCCACCCTGTTCCTGGCACAGGCCAGGATGCTGGTGGCCTTCTTGGCCACCTGGGCACACTGCTGGCTCCTGTTCAGCCGGTGT